TAGGTGATGGGACATCCTGGGTGAGGATGAAAGCATCTGAACAAGATGTACACAAATGGCTTAAGCGCACCACAGCAGGGTGGATGAATTTCACCCTGGGGGGGGGGGTGGGTACATGATTACATCAGCAGCCGGAGCTGCATGTGGAGGCAAAGTGCCCCACGCCACGGCCGTGCCGCCGGGTGCTGAGCCGGTGTCATCAGCTGGTAGGACCGTCGCACGCCGCTGGCCGCGTGATGGGGGGGGGGTTGTGCTCGTTTGGCTGTGCTGTCTCCACTGTGACGGATTGAGCTTCAAGTCCCTGGTGTCAGTCACCCAACCCCAATCTGCTCTGTCCCAAAGGGGCTCTCAAGGCTTTCTGTGGAAGATCAAACGTCGGGGCCTCAACTCCACAGCGTTCGAACTACCCCACAATCCCTCTTTCTGTCTAGTACGCCATTGTTCATGCAAATCACATGCAAGAAAGTTGGTCTACATATCCTTCCAGGTTTTCATTTCCCCCTTTTTTGGGGTTTTGAAAATGCCGTGTGGTCTGACTCACTGGAGGCGGGGAGTTCATTAGGATGGTCATGTGTTACTAAGGTTTCTCCCTTGTTTTTTAATGGCAAAAATGCAGCAACATGCCTGACATTACAGCCAACTTGGCCTCAGCATGACTGGTTCCAATACTTACCAGTATCAGTTGTGTCAAATTAATGGCTGCACCTAAGCTCTGCAAGGGAGCTAGATTTCCATAAGCAGGGTTGGTGACCACTGTTCTATTGCCCTGCTGTGACTTAATGGTGGGTGTGGGGCATTACGCAGAGGACGTCTTTGTGTTTCCCATACCGGCGCCTGCTAAGCAGGACGAGGTGATGTCGAACCCTTATTGGAGATTTTTGTAGCTTTGGGGCACAGTGGTTTCAGTGGCTATTTTAGTGTGTGTGTAATTATTTCATTTAGCTTTATTTATGGCCGTAGTTTGTTCCTAGGAGCAAGGAGACCTTGCCAGACAAATGTATATGGTGAGTGATGTATTAATAGAAATCTGTAGCTTTGTTTGTGTTCCGCTGTTCTGCTCAGATAATGCAAACGTATGTACACTCTGAGCTCTCTCCCCCCCCCTCCTGCATCTAGTGCAGTTACACAGTTGCAGCAGTTAAAGGTGCATCCCTTGCGGTGGCATGTAGGGTTTGACTCGACGCTCTCCGGTTTTTTGCCATACGATAAATGATTTTGGTGTGCTATTTTGCAAAGTTGGATCAAAGCTTTGAATGTGCATCATCATGTTTATTAGTCAGTCTGAGTTTATGGGACTGTTTGAGACAAGTGGATCGAAAATGGGGTTCGAGGCTTTCTTCGGTTTTGAAGTAATGTTTAGCAAAACCTTTAATATCCTCTTCCCTGTGTGTTCCACTTTGAAGTCCCTGTGGTTCTCCGGCGAGTTAAAAGCCCCTCTCAGACGCTGAGAGAGAATCTACCCAGCCTGTCATTTGCATGAGTGCAAAAACGCTGCATTGTAACGGAAATGAGGAAACCGATGTGGTCACATTGTAATGTATGGGGGTAGGATTGGGGGGGTGTCTCGCATGTGCGCACCCCTCCCTGCCGGCGTTCAGAAGGTCTGCTTGTTCACGGCGCTCTGTTCCTTGGCGCCGACGCACACAGGCCTGTTTGGAGTAGCATGCCGTGACCCGGCCTCTTCTCCTGAGCACCATTGCCGAATGTTTCCAGAACATAATTTCTAGAACTTCAGAAAGAGGAGATTTTTATTAGTTATTGCTGTAGGATGAGTGTGTCATAGCAAAGGAACCTAGTGTAAAAATCTCAGCAAATCTCGGTTTTGATTCCTTTGGTGCATTAGGGAATAGGGGCTGTCTGACCATCCCTTAACGGGAAATCTTGCACCTTGGAGATACTGAGGCGTTTTGTACGTGGAACACAACTGGACACTGCTGTGGTAACTCAGCAGGGTTCTTGTTTGACGAGGAGACTGAAAGCAGTGTGGAGACAAGCGTGTCTTTCTTCTGGACTAAATATCTGTTAAGTAAGACGGCACAGTAATATGATTGTGAGAATCCAGCTCTCGGTGCTCATTTTTTCTATCATATTGAAAAGATCCTTAATTTATTTTTTTTCCTTCCTCCCGGCTCTGAACCCTTATTTTGTCCAAATGTGTGCGAAGGTCCCGCAACTGTGACATCACGCTATCATACGTTGGTTTTTCTGATGGTCCTCGTCCTCGGCCAGCTATGGAATGCAAGGCGTCTCTTGAATTAATGCTTAGTTTGTCATGGACCCACCTGTGTGTGACTGTAATACTGTGTGTTGACAGTGTCCATGTTGTGTAGCAGTGACTTGCATGAGGCTGTTTACAAAGGCAGCTGTGCTGGGAGGAGTGGCTGAGTTTCTACCCCAGGGATAAAGTCTTCCAGATCCCCCCCCCCAAATGGCCCGTTTCTCTATCTGACGTGGGGAGTGTGCACAAACAAGCGGCCATTTTGCACGGTTTGGTTGTCGATTGATTGAGCCCTTTCACCCTTTGTCACTGCGCCTTTGTCTTGCCTGCTCATCTTGCGTTTGGGTTTGTTTGAAAAGAGAGACACTTTATTACGATTTTGCTAACTTCCTTTCAACCCCCGAAGTTGCCACTGGTTTTAAGTGCTTTGTCCTGCCGAATCTGTCTCTTTGTTTCCATTTTGGAAGTGTGGCTGCTTTCAAAACCCACTTCAGTACACGGCAGATCTTAAACATCTCCGAAGGATGGTTCTAATGTAAAAAAATATAAAGTGTGCGTCCCCAAAGGTGGTGTGAGTTTTCCTGACTTTGAATCCCATCTCCTGCATCTAAAAATCAATGTTAATGTACTGTGTGTTTCCTAGACTGAGTTTACACATTTTGTAGTAGTTCTGTAAGGAAAAATAAACTCCAGTTGTATGCAGGCTAAACCTTCTGAGATCTTTTTTGTGGTAAGAAGTTTTTTTGGGTGGTAAAATGTCATGTTGTGCCTTTTTAGCCGATTGTGTTGCCTTGGAAGGACGTTTCTGCACAGGCTTTCTTTGTCTCCTCAAGCTGTTAGACTGTGCTGTTAAATGTGGGTTCCTGGCTTTAAGGTCAACCTCGTTCTACATTTACATCCGTTTTGACGTCGTGCGTCACCAGTGCAGACGCCTGGGTCCTTGGGTTAGGTTGTAATCGCACAGGATGGTGCACTGTGACCTGATCTTTTTGCCTGTTTCTAAAGCAAGCACCTTTTAACATTGGTTAAGAGTTTTTTTATTTTTTTTTTATTTTTTATTTTGCTTTTGGCGGTTTCCTCGAAGTAATGTTTTACTGTTAAGATCGCAACTCATGTCATTGAGTTTCATTAATGGTTATTAAATATTATTTATTAATACTTATTGTGGGGAAAATGTGACTAGATGTTTGCAGATGATGCTGAGAGGTGTTGAGTGGCTCCTGTGGACGTGCGCCGCTGCAGACTGTCCCTTTAAAAGTGCTGCCCACGGCGTCCGCGTTGCCGTTTGTCTCCCTCCCTCTTCCTCCTCTGTGGCAGACTCGTGTTTTGGAATGCTGGTAGTGTCTCCCTAACACACTCGATCGGTCGTGGCTGCTCGCGCTACCGGTCTGTCCCTCCGGGGGTTAAAACCTGCTTCATCCTCTCTCACCCGCCAACTGGTTTAGACCGGTTCTCGGGAAAGTGCTTTGTCTCCCATTGAATCCTGGGAAGGGTCATGTGGAGCTCCAGTGATGTCACCAAGGATGAGAAAGACCTTAAGTCAGCTTTCTTTATCAGATGGGGTGTTTGCAGTGCAGGTACAGTGGAGCATTTCTGGGCATCTCCAGACCCCCTTAGCCTATCTAGAGTATGTGTCACTTTGTTTGGTCTTTAATTCCAAGAATTTATCTCTTTAAATATAATGCATAGTTGGCCCTATTTAATGGCACTGCACATAAATTAAAGCTCCTCTCCTGAAAAGCTTGGTTGAAGTTTGCCCTTCAGCATGCCTCTCATCCGACACCCCCGGGCCGGGTGTTTGTGCCCGTTTTAACACGTGCGGGGGCCCAGGCAGCAGTTCCAGCTTACCGCTGCCACGAATCCCTGCCAGCGTCACGGTGGCGATGGCTGGATTAAGGTCACCGTCTGGATCTGGCACCGAGGAACCTCCTTTTCTGTCCAGCTGCTGTTCGGCACTTTGCGCTCCTCCCGCCTGACGCCTGTCTCGTTCCCGTGGTGTTAAGAGTCGCGGCCCGCCGCAGTGACTGTTGATACTCATCACCGATGTGCTTAAGACCCTTCTGCTAGGGCTCCCCAAAAGTTACATATGATCACTGTCAGTGTTAATTCCGACGTTCTACTGGCTCGATGGGGTCACTATGGAACCCCGTCAATAATGGCATGGAGCTTTGCAAACAGCTGTTGATGCCTTTTCCCACAAACATTGCCGGAGGACTATAAATAGCGGCAGGTAGCATCGTGATTAAGGACACGGGCACATTCCGGAAGGCTGTTGGGTTAAGTGACCGTGGAGGTGCTAGTGTGTGTGTGTGTGTGTGTGTGTGTGTGTGTGTGGGTGGTAGCAGGGTTTTAATTCCTCTAAGATGAGGCTGGACATATGGGGGGGTTAAGTTGCTTTGGGTGGTACTTAGTGATTTGTTGCTATAGATATTAATTTGCATTTGAATGTATGGGTTGGAGCCTTTTGGGATGCCAGTAAGGGCCCTCTCCTTTTCCCATCATCCATTGCAGTGTGATCCTCTGGTACAGCACGGAATATTCAGTCACACAGATCTTGGTAGAATAACAGTTGAGTTCACATACAGCTGGTCGTTTGACCACCGCTGGTACGTGGGCTCATGTTGCTTGTAATCTTGGCATGTGAGCGGAATTAAGTTATTAAACCTGGCTTTGTTTTATATGGCACTTAAACGGCGGATTTACAGTGTAGCTGGCAGAGCATGTCAGCGAGTCGTGCTCACGGAGTGATGATTAATCCCCCCCCCCCCCCCCGTCTGTCCAGGTGCCGGCATGTCGGAGGAGGCGGTGCGTCGGACCCGCAGCCAGAAGCGGGCGCTAGAGCAGGATGCCCTGCCCGTGGAGGTGGACAGCAAGAAGGTCAAGATGGAGAAGGGGGACCAAGGGAAAGGCGAGACCGGGGTGACCGACGGCCTGAAGGTCGCTGGCATCCTCAAAGCCGGCGAGGTGAAGGCCACCATCAAGGTGGAGGTGCAGACGAGGGAGGAGCCGGTCGACATGAGCACCTCTAAAAGGTGAGCGCTTCTTCACCCATCATTGTGGGTTTATGGTGTAGCAGCCACGGCACCCAGGTCTGGCCTCCATGGCATCTCCTCGCCGATGCTCCTCACCTGGTCGAGCCCACTGTGCACCCGCTTCAGCTGGACCTTTCAAACTTGCCGAAGGACACCACTGTCGAATGCATATCTGGTTTTTTGGGTCTCTTATAAATAGAAAGGTTTCCTTATTCCAGTTCCTAAGTCCTACTGGCCCCGCTGGTCCTGCTCATTTCACTTTAAAGCGGCTTGCCCTCAGAATGAGGCTCACTGCTGTTCGTATACTAACTAAACCATTGGCGTGAGTGTAGTGGGTGACCAGCTCCAGCCAAACTCATGTTTAATTATTAAAATTCTTCCCACTCATTAGTCACCACATCTTCAGTCTGTTGCCAGTGGCATCAGAGAGATGATTTGGTTTGTCATCAGGTTGTTCTGAAAGTCAAAAATGGCCGAGTTCCCCTTGACCTTCTCTTGGGTTTCCATTCCATTTTTCTTCCAGCTGAACCGGTGTGTGAAATCCTTTTCTGCACTGTTTATACCTTAAAGACATGGCTGTGTGTTTTTATTATTCTTTTTATTTGTCAAAGGGAAATGTTAAGCAATTAAGGGCTGCAGCAGAATTGGTTCCATCTAGGGCTGCATGATATTACATCGCAATTATATGGCACATGTGCAGTAATCAGCAGGGCTTTACATGACGGCCGTAAACATTTGTCTGGATGCCGGCTTTCTGGTAATATTCGGACGCTTCTCACGACTTGCCTTTGAAACTGTCCCTTTCGTCACCGCCACTTAAGCGCTTTGCGTTTCCGTGATTTACAGAAACGGCAGTATGGGGCGTGTTCTGCTAGCCGAATTTAATAAACATAAAGTTGCGGCGAATTTATACAGATTACTAACTTTTGGCCGTGACGGTATAACTCTCATTAATATTTTATGCGTACTACTAATCTACTTTGCCAGATTGTGGGTGTAAGTAAACGTCTGTACAGTACTGCAAAGCCGGCTTCCGGACAAATGCTTACACCCTGTCATCTAAAGCTCTGGTGTTTATTGCACGTGCACCATACAATTGATTATATCATCATGTGATATTGTGCAGTCCTAAACTTCGATCCTTCCGCATTTCTGGGGGCTCTTTTCAGTGTTCTGGCATTCTTGATATGGGAGTACCCAGGTGAGGGGTTGGGGGCCCTACCATTGACTGCCTCATGTTATTGGCTAGCTGGGCTTGAAAAGGTGTGTGAACGGGTGACTATATCACAGAGACCAACTGTGCATCTTATATTTTCATTGGTGTTTTTGAAGTTATGTGGGTTCTGATTAAACAACTCGAATGGCCACAGGTATTATTTAGCAGTAATGCGATTTAGATCTTTTAACGAAGTTGATTTTTGCAGTCTTTGTGATCAGGTGATGTTAACTTTCAGTTGAAGCGTCTTGGGTAACTTCACGCCTTTAGCATAATGATATGGTTGTAAGAATATCATAATTCACAATCCAATGAAGTCTTTTACATGTTAGGGATCAGTGGTGGAGCACTGAATTTGTGTGCGTGAATATATGTACATGTGTGTGTCCTTCAAGCACAACCATACGCACCGACACGCATGGTCATGGGTGATTTTGAGACACTGGTCACCCAGACTGCAGGCCTTGGAGGAAGCGGGAGTACATAGAGGAAACCAGTACGACACGAGGTCGACATGTGAATTCCACACGCAGAGCAGAGGAGATTATTTATATATTACTCTATAAATAAGTTGGGCTGTTTCAACATAGGTGTGTAATTTTATATGTGTATGCAGAGACATTACAGAAAATAACTTACAGTGGCTGTGGACTGAGGGGAAAATATAGGCAATGCTAAAGAGTTAGTGTTATGTGAGTTTCTGTCCATTTAATGGATGGATGGAGTTGGCTGTGGAAGCGAATAAGGGTGGAGACATGGGGTGGAGGGGGGGGGTCTGTTGGCTGGGGATCTTTTTTTTTTTTTTCCTTCGGGGAGGTGATTACGGCTGCTGTGGAAGTCTGGTGTCTCTTTCGGGCGCCGGGAGCGAGGAGCCTCCTTTCGTTCAGGAAGCTTCAGCGTGTCGGGCGGCTTTTCCCTTCTGAAAGTTTGAGGCAGCCAGCCGCTCCATTTTCTTCAGCACCTGAACTCTGCCTCACTTCACAAAATGAAGGCTATGTGTCACAAACTGGTTCCAGCCGGCCGTTGCCATGGTTTCCACATTGGAAGGAACCGGTGGGGGGGTGTGTGTGTGTGTGTGTGTGTGTGTGTGTGTGTGTGTGTGTGTGTGCGTGCGTGCATGCGTGTGTCACATGACCACGAGGGGGAAATGTCTGGGTCATGTGACAACATTAGTAGAGTGATTAATACACAGGAAGTGATTTCCGTGAGCTCTGAAGATGCAGTTAGATCTGAGCAATTTTATTTTTTTTTAAACCTCAGATCAGTTGAAACTGGGGCACCTTCTTACCACTCTGTATTAAAGAAAGCTTTTATTTGACTCTAACCAAAGTTGTTGACTGTGACCTTTTGTGGTGGGTGAGTAGCAGTGTGGAATCTTGCCTTTCCTAACCCTTTTGCAGGATCTCATGTCAGTTGTCTCCATAAGGCCCCATTTCTCCCGCTCAGGCTGGCTGTCCGCCTTTCAGGAGCCGGATCATTCTGATCCCCGTTTGCCGCCTTCCCTGTATATTTCAGGAGGTCTCACTAGCTCATGCTGGATTTTGCCGCTTATGCTGCTGTTGCGGGTGGCGCCCCGCAGCAAGGTGACACGTCCCTAATGTCCTGCAACTCCAAGTGCCGTTTATTGTGCCATACTTACACCCATGACTGGGTCTGACGGGGGGCTGGTCCCTGCCTGTGTCTCTTACCAGTGACTTTGTTTTCCTTCCTAGATGCATTAACTTAATCGCTGATGGCCCATTCTGTGGACTCACTTATGCAAGCCTAAACATTCCCGTCCTTGTCGCATCATCCCTGGGCTCTTGGCCCTACTGTGTGTCCGGGCCACAGTGGTACACCTTATCTGCTGACGTTATTTCCAACGCGAGTACCATGCTACTCCTGTAGTGTTCGGACTCAGCATGAGTCGCTCTCCGGCTGAGGACGGATATCATTTCTCTCTCCCTAAATGCTGCTGCTTTTCCATCATAATGAGTCGCTTACCTGGGCAGCCCATGTCCCACCTAAACAAGGGTCCAAGCTGCCACCGTGCATCTTCATCCCAACATCACCAAACCTCTCGAAGATGAGCATTCTCATTACTAATGGCCAGATGTAGGATTGTTACCCCCCCCTCCCCGAGCTGCACCCTGTGAGCATTTCCCCTCCCTCTTCTCTTCTGCGCCACAGGACTTGTTGATCTTAGGTCATCTACTGTTTTCCTGTCTTCCTGCTTATTTGAACACGGGAGACTTAAACAGGGTTTCACTGCCCTCTGCTGGCCAATGTAGTTAAGGGTCTTTCCTGAGACTTCTCAGTCTCCTCCTGCATTGAGCAGGTCCTGCGCCTTTATTCTGCTCATTCAGTTACTAACAGGTAGTCACCGTTATTTTTTTCCCCCCCAAAGGAAGTAGTTATCCTGCAAGGTCAGAATTCCATGGGGGATAGTGCCTTAGTTTTTTTATAATCTTTCCAAGTTCTGTCCTCACACTCCTGAAAGATGTGAATTGTACATGGTGCCTTTCTTCTCCCTACACGTGCAGTGCACACTAACCTGGATCAGGGATTCTTATGCACTGCACTCTGTCTAGATGAGGCTAGTACTTGCATTCTCTTGTTTGAAAACAGTGAGTTGTGTGCATGTTTAATTTAAGCACTTAAATCTTGAGACTTTGGGCTCAGGGCACCAGGCCGGCAGTGTCTGTCTGCCCGCTGATTGGTCTCATGCTCAGTCCCTGTTCTATATATTGCTGACGTTTCGTATAATTTCAGGGTATGAATATTTTAAAAGCTGATTTATGTCTCTTTCTGCTGTTTCATAATACATTTCAGTTTAATTCCGTAAGTAAATACAAAACTGTAGACTGCTGTAGGCATCCACTGCATGTAAAAATGTTTTTTTAGCAGCAGTAGTTTGTGTTTTACTGGCATTAAATTTGTACCGGTTTTGTTCTTTTGATGCCTTTTGAACTAGGTAGCCACATCTATTATCTGTGTGGGATGTGTATAGGAGGTGTGTGTGTGTGTGTGTGTGTGTGTGTGTGTGTGTGTGTGCGTGTGTGTGTGTGCCCGCGCGCGCACATGTGTTTCTGTATTATAGTCATTCTTTTGTCATGTACGGCCTGGTGACTCAGTGAATAGCACTGTTGTCTCATACCTCCATGTTTAGGGGTGTGAATCCTGCCTCTGCTCTTTGCGGTTGGAGTTTGCACAGAGAGGCTGTCCA